CACCTGCCTTGGCCTGAGCAACCTGGCAGTATTCAGCCCACAAGCCAATCATGGAACATTTTTCTTTTTATGAAGATTATTGTACCATGATTTGTTTGGCACACAGTCTGTCCTCAGACAAGTGTGATATATATATAATCATAAACAGTGGCGGTTGTTCATCTACTTTCTACACTTTCTACGCAGACCTAGCTTATAAGTTTTCTGTGTCTATACGCTGATAGCGCTCCTAGTTTTAAACTCTTTGATTCACGCTGTTCGCCTGAGTAGACTTGATGGATAGGCGAAAGATACCAATGGAAACCGTCGCAAAACAGCGTAGGCCGTGAAAACTGAAACCAAAAACGTATTTTAACCATGCGACTGCTTTCCCCGAACAGAAAATAGCTGGAAACGAAACAGTCTTGACAAACCGAGATTAGAAGCCTTAACGCAAAGACATCGAAACTAGTAATAAGGGAGAACTCAAGGTTGGGACACAAACGATGATAGTTGGAATTTCTGGAAGATGGGGCTCGAGACCGCAATGGTCAATGCGTTGCGAGAGGCCTCTGCATTGCCAAAAATCAACTCCTTTCTTTTAACACAGATTCGCGCCACAGGTTGTGATACTCCTGTCAATTATATAAATGGTAGTTCAGGTGTGGTAATAATAATAAATATATTCTTTTACCTTCAATGTCCATTTTTTGCTACACACCATTGTATGAGGAACGGTAGACGAAATGAACCCTAGAAACACAAAAAGCTGTTGTTTACTCATGGAAAACGGCAACCTTGGCCCTGGGGTTTGGAGTGGTGAACCATATAAGATCAAACTGGGTTAGACACGGTAATGAACGAGACCACTAAAGTCGGGTGGCGGCTGTGGGGTTCGAACCTCGGACCCTAGGGACGATTATGAAAAAGCAAATCAGCGTTCCTATCTTTGTTTTCTATGTAGCGTTAGAGTTTATTCCTGTACCTTTAGCCGGAAAGGTGTGGAATTTATGTTGAAGTTAGCAAAGAACATTATTATCCACCATTCGTGGATCATAACCAAAACTAGATTGAGTCACAAACACAAGAAGCATCACGTTTGCTGAGCCGAGCATTACAGACCTTCAAGGCGGAAAACTGATGCTAAGGTTTGGGGAAAAGAAATAAGCGGACTGTTGAAATCGTGAATTGGTGAGTTTGTGGAAAGTCTTAAATCATCTTTCTCATTATCCTAAGTTAAGAATGAGACAGCCAATCAAATTGCGAGATAAACAGTTAAAATAGCTCCCCACAAAGCGCGAACGCAGATGGTTTTATCGATCACAAACCTTGGTAAGTGTTGCCCTTTATTTCCACTTCATACGACTCCATGGTTTCTTGAATTTCTTTTCCAATATCGCATAGTCGGACGTCAATACCCGCGGCCTGTTAGGTAAATTCACGGAAATACTCGTAAAAACCATGAACAAAGAAATCTGGATTTTGAAATAGAGATGATGTCATTGTGAGGCAAATAAAAACTTTGGTATCAAGTGAGATACACGGAAGATAGAGGCATGGTAAGTAATTCAATAACCGGACGATTACAGTATATAAACCTGACTGAGCGATTACCGATCATAAGGATGACAGCAAGAAGCAAGCAGATCAAGCGATTGCGAGAAGGCTAGTGTAAGTCAATGCTTAAGTATTGGAGGAGATGAGAGGGCAAAGGTCATTTGAAATAACGGTAGAGAAATGGGATGGGTTGATTAAAATGTGGATGGTTGTTGAGACCTATTGGGAGTGGGATAATGTTACACAAGACACATCAGAAACA